CACTTATGTTTTGCCAAACATATTAGTGGTTGATGTATTTTGTCAATCATCTTCTCTGACATTTTTGTTAGCTGTAAAAGATATCCTAGTTTAGGAATTATTACTATATTGTTTATGTATGCGATTTGGCTCATTGTCATCTTTTTGTATCTTAGATCTTTGACCGTTTGACTAACTATTTCTTTTGTTTTCTTACAGACTAGTACTTCTCTCATTCGGCTATTTAGCCATATTCCTAATGATCTTACAATTTTGTTTTTGGGTTCTTCTATTATTTTACTATGGCCAAATGTAATTTCTCTTTCTTCCTCTCTTATTCTTATGTTCATTACTATGAGCTTTGATTTGGATCCATTTATTTCAATATCGTTTGCTTTAAAGAACTCTTCTACAATGCTTAAAATTCTTAATATTTGTTCTTTACTATTCACAATTCATGTTGTATCATCGGCATATGCAATTGCTACTTGCCTGTAATTTGTAATGTTATCAATGCATGCTTTCTCTGCAATTCTCTGTTTTATCTTATAGCCTAATGTTTCATCTTCTTGTATTCTTTTTAATAATAAATCATAAAAGAGACACCAAATTAATAGTAAAATTACCTCTCTTTGGTCTATTCTGTCTCCTGCTATTATTTCTTCTGTTAGACCATAGGCTGTTATGATTTTGAGTTGCTGATTACAAAACAGGTTGCTTATATATTTTCTTGTTTTTTGCAGGATTTTAACTCTTTTTAATGCCCAATCTAGGCTTTCTAATGGAACTGAGTCAAATGCTTTTTTCATATCTTGTAACAGAATCCAAACTTCTTTATTCTTTTCTTGTGCCTCCTCCATTATCATGTTTAGTATGTGTATTGGCTGCTCTGTTGAATTGCCTGGCAGGCCTGCGAAATTTGGTCCTCTGAGTATGTTTCTTTCTGTAAACACTCTGGCTAATCTTTTTGTCACGACCTTTGTAACAACTTTTCTAAAAGTCTCTATTAATGCTATTGGTCTGATGTTGTTTAGACAGTAACTCCAGTCTATGTCTTTTGGAATTGGATATAATTCTATTTAAAGTTTCTATCTATTTAATAATTGCATTAGATATTTTATAAACCTAATAATCAGATAAAAGGAACAATAACTGATTATATGATTTAAGAACTCATAATTCATTATCAAATCTGATAAAAAAATTTATAATAAATTCATATATTTGTTTACTAAACTTAATAAAATATTCTATTTGTATTTTTAAAACCAAATTAACAAGTCATTGTTAAAGAAGTTTCTACTTTTCAAGATATTTTTTTAGTAATTTTTTAATAATTTTAGTTTATTTAGAAATCAAAAAATAAATTTTTCTAAATATTCTCTTTTTTTTACTAATTAACTTGCTGCTTGTAATTCATATAAATACTGTTATTATAAAGATTTTTAAAATTAAAATAATTGAATTTTAAATAATTTAGTATATAAATCAAATATATAAAATAATTTTATATTTATTAAATTGTCTTTATTACTTTTACTATACTTATTATATAATTACCAAATAAGATACAGTAAATTAAAAAATATTTTTGAGTTGAAAATCTTTTTTGACTTTGAGCTTTTTGAATATGATATTTTCAAAATTTGTTATCATTATATATGCTAAATGAAGCCTATAAGAAATTCCAAATGAATTTATTTATTAAATAAAGCTACTATACTATGTTTATAATTTGATATATATGTCATATATTATTTGTTATTTAAGTTAAATATTTAGTTAGATTTAATTAATATTGCTTACATAATTTAATAACAGTATGTGCAATTAATGTTCTGATAAATTGAATTAAATCTTAAAGTTTTAATAAAGTAACTTGTGGTTTATTACTAACTAGATCTTAATATATAAAACATATAACAAAAACTTTATTATTATTATATATTAATTCATTTTTATAATTTCAAAAATATACTATTTAGAAAGTTTAACAATATTATATTGTTAAATAATATAAATATTCAATACATCTTGATGTTATCTAATAAGTGTGCTAACAAAAAATTATTTATTTAATTCTTAATTTATTAATTATTTGATTATCTTTTTTATACAAGTTATAGCAAATCAATAAGACATTTCTTCAATTTCACAAATTTGTATAATCATAAAAATAGTTTTAGTATTAAATTGTTTTTATTTACATAAACTAATTTTGAATTGTAATTTTAATTTTTTATTAGTTATATTAGGTACTTTGCAAACTATAGAATGAACCTTAGAGATATATTGTTTATGTATTTGGTTAGACTTTTTAATTTTATTATATAAATTTTTTTTTGTTTTTTGCAGTTGATTAATTTTTTAAATATTTTTTTTTTATATTTAATATGACTTCTATTTAAATAACAAATGAAATTATATGCCAGTTTTAGGACTATTCTTATGTTTCATAAGATTTATTAATAATACTACAAGACTTAATTCACTATCATCTATATTTTTAATTATATTTAATATGTTTTTAAATATTGCAATTGAGTATATTGCTCTTGAGCAAGTTTTTAATTATAGTTATAAACATAACAAGTATTGGATCTGACAAATTGATTGCATATTCTATAAGGTTATCAATTTTTTGTTGTTGAATATCTATTTCTGTATATATCCTTGCTGGTAAAGTCAATGAAATACTGTTATCGCTATCTATACTATTTTCAATAGTATTTTTAGCTTGGGTCTTATTTTTTTGAAAATTGATGTTGATTGCATGCATATTTTGGATGATGGCATTGTTTGAATTTTGTTTGAAATCACAACATTTTGATAAATAAAATCAAATATTTATTTTTAATATACATTACAATAGTACAAATTTTACACAAAGTATACAAATTTTTTATACCATATTTTTTTTTTATATTATAGTTTTTATTTCATTCTTTTCGATAATAACTTTTGTTTTACAGATTTTAAATATCTTTTGTTTTATTAAATTAAGTAAAGTTCCCTTACAATTTTAAAGAAATTGACCACTCATAAATGAAAAAAAATCGAAAAAATGACGTTATTACAATATTTAATACTAATACTTATATCTTCAACAAAAAAACTTAACTGCAATTGTTATGTTAGTTCGCGAGAAAACTGTACCGAAAGTTACTATTATCCGCAGTAAATTCGGATTTTCATAAAAAATTTTCGCACAAATGATTTTCATACGTACCCTAACTAATATTTGATTTAATTAGTTTGATAATGTATAATGCTATACTAATTGTGTTAATTAAAAGTTTATGCTATGTAGCGAAAAATCCTTTTGAACATCTGTACTGCACTTAGTCATTAGATCCGGATATAAGTGCAATATCCGGATTTAAATATGCGGGCACATTTACCTTCTATCCACTCACAAATCTGTTTCAAACATATCGTGACAATGCTAGATATCATTGTTAAATATGGATCTTATAATTAAATCCGGATTTAATGATTAAATTCGGATATAATTGTTTAAACCGGATCCAAGTATTAACTCTAACTGCACTGCATCGAGCAGTTAAACTTCAAGCATTGCTAATTCAGTAATTGAAAATTTACTGCAACACAGAATACGTTTGTACCTTTTCCTACAATTGTTTGAAATTTGGGAAACATCAAATTTCTAACATAAGCTAAAATGTAAAACCTAAATTCTAAAAAAAAAGCAAAATTTAAGAAAAGAAAATTTTTTTAGAAAAGTAACAACATTGTAGTACCAAATGCTAATTAGCATCATAGGGCACGATGCAAACTATGCGGCATAAAAGTTTAATACCTCAAAACTTTTGATAGTGATACAGGCTGTTTGACAATAAAATTGTTAAAGGACTGAAACGAAAGGTTTATTTTTAACATTTACTTATAACAATAACAATGTCAAATAGTAAGTTCACATTAATAAATTGAATGATAATCTAATGGGTTTTTAAGAAAATCTAATGGGTTTGATGCATATTCCTTGCAGAATAGACCCTCATTAATCAAAACAAACACCCTAATAATTCGTCAGACCAATCAAAAAAAAATTTAAATGAGTTTTAAACTAAATTTAGTGACTCTATTTCAGGGTCTAATTTTACCGACCATATGATAAAAATAAGGCAGATCCACCATTGATGGATGAAGTTCTTAACTAAAATATGATTAGTCTTTTTAAAGATATTTACCCGTTTTTAAGGGAATGTTAAAGCCAGTTACGTACAATATTTTAATGGTTATATATATATCAAGAATACAATTTATGCAATTTGTAGGTCGATACATACGAGTATTAATAGACCCGTTTTTAGTAATAGAATGGTGATTATTTTTCGCAAATAATAGGGTGTCTTTTCTTTGATATATAATCAACATCTGTTCGAGAAGCGAAAAAGCTTTGAGCGCATAGGCACCAGCGCAGCCCTGTGTACATAGTCTATGGAACCGTTTTTAATTTCGTGGAACCACCTATTTCCTAGGAAAGTTAATCTATGAGACTTAGCGTTAGTTTCTTAACGTCAAATAATTTCTTTAAAAAAGCAACGATAAACTTCCATAAAGGCAATTTCTATGTAATATCAAGCGCAAACGATTCTTTCTTAGCACCAACAACAATTAGCGCCAAAAATTAGCGCTAAATCATAACTAACCAAAAATTAAATTTTGTATGCCATAATTATTATATAATGTATTGAAAATTACTGTACGTATATTATTATGTATATTATATGATTAGAATAGTAATGCGTATATATATATATCTATATATTAGAATTACAGATTAAATCCGAACCATTAAAAGCTTCATTTAAAAATTTTTTTAATCCTTTTCTTGAAGAGTTTTCCCATTCTTTTAAAAACACCTTTGTCAGACTCATTACTTTTTCTTTCAATATTATCAATTTGAGTTATGTCATTTTTACCCAGTTTTATAGTTGGTGTACGATTGATTGAGGTATTCCCTGAAGTATTGTTATTAATTGACGGTTCAACATCTGAAGTGGTAGATTCTGGTATGTTCCCAATTAAGTTGCCTACTTCCGAATTGTCTAATGTGTAAGAAACAGAATCGTTCGATTCTGAATTCACTTCAGGATTAACGTTTGTTTCGATGGTACTTGTGGATGCAATCTCTGCGAGAGAGGTAAAATGCTAGAAATAGATATTAGAAAGAAAATAAATATTTAAGTGAAGGATTATTACCATTGCTTTCTTCATGCGAAGTTCTTTCTATTCTATTTAAAGCGTAAGGATTCATCAAGCAACTTTTCTCGTATTTTTAATAAAAGATTGAGATTTTATTTTCTTTTGTTTTGCAAAGTTAATTGCTGTCTAGCTCGTTGAAATTTGTTTCATGCACAAGGTTCGATCAGTACATCAAACTATAACTATTTAACTACTTAACTCATAAGATGAATAGTTTTAACTCATGACGAGCTAAAAGTTATTTATATATGGAATCGAAAATGTGTCAAGAATTATTTTTCATGTCTTAAAATAAAATTATATTCTATTAAGATTTATTAATAAATTTCTTACTGATCACACAGTAAGGACTAATAATATTTTATATTTTAATATTCTTTAAGGTCAAGAATTAGTTTATTTTAAAAAATACTTTTTTAAATACTTTTCTACGGTTTTTATACAAATTATTTCAAAAATGCGATAAATTGAATTGTCATACTTCTCTGATTATTATGAAATTCATCTTCGTATTAATTACAGATAATAGGTAAAATTACATATCATTTAGAAGAATAAGAAACGCTCAATGCATTAATAAATACTTATAATACAAACATCCTTTAAAGCAAATGTTAATATTTAAGAATAACTTGAAAAACTTCGTAATCTTCTAATTCATGATGTACTGCGTTCCATTCTTCTGAATTAAAAAATAATCGACTTCCCGGATATCCTGTAGATCCCCAACAAGATGCATGCTTGTAACGTTCACCAATCACCAGATCCCAACCAGGTCCAAAAGCTGGCCCGCATAATTGCCTATTGTAACAAATAGCACTATGTACACTAGCAACTCTTGCAAATTTCGCCCATTGTGAATCTAAATTGGTTTTCTTGTTTTCAAAACAAAATAGAAAACTCTCTGATGTTGCCCACCAACTATGACAATCAAGTATTGATGTATTTTCTATAGTTTCATTTTGTGGTCCCCAATCTAATGGGTTATAACCACCGATTATTTTTCCACTTTTTGCAAATTTTGAGATAGTTACCGTTGGTCCCTTTTTATCGCATAATATATGAAAATTTTCAACATCGAATCCATCCTCACTTGCTCTATATAATAATTTAAATTTATAAGGAAATTGTGTCTTGTAAATTTGTGTATTGTTTCTATCTATCCAATTTGAAATCATTGCGAAATGTTTTACTTCCAAAAGTTTTGAATCTATGTTAGGAATTCTTGGTGGTAAAATTAATGATTGATTTTTAATTTCTTTTTTAGAATTAAATCTTTTAATACTTTCATAAAATTCTTTTGGTAAAATAATTTCGAATAATTTTTGAAATTTTGAAAAATTTTCTTTTGAAATTTGAAACCATCTGATTAATGGAATAAATTCATATAATGTTTCTTTTATAATACCTAAATCTTCTGATGACAACTCTAAAATATCATCTATGTTTATAATCATCGAGGATTGAGTGATAGCCCATTGAATCATGAATTTACATATTTCCATTTCATTTATAGCGAGGTTTTCTTGTTGAAGTATTAAATATAAAAGTGATTTATCTAATGTGTAAAAATTTGGTGATCTAAATAGTACACCTGGATCTTCTGCTACGCGATCCAAACAAAATTCTCTTAACTTTGAAAGTTCTTCATGACGAAATACGATTTTAAGAATTTCTAAATAATTATCCGTTAAGAATCCAATTTTTTTATCAAATAAATATAATTGTACGTATTCTATTAATTTTTGTAAATCTAATTCATCTGCTGCTACTAAAAGTTCTAACACATTCATTCCTTCTTGAGTTTCCAAATCAACTTTTGCTGTATATAAATATCTTTTTTACACAAAAAAAAAAAAAAAAATTAGAAAATACTATATAAACATAAATTTAAGAAATTATATAGATTGAATATAATACTTGCTTTAGTATCACTTTAAATGTATTAGGGCAAATATTCGATTTCTTAAAAATTGTTATCCCATTTCGTTTTCTCGCCCAACTATTTGATAAAGCTGCTCGAAAATATGGCGACCTAGTACTTAAGATAATTGAATGTGCTCGAAATTCTTGTACTTCAGGACTTTCTCCGGCTTGTATTAAAACATCATAATTATCTCCGCTTTCAAGAAGTTGTTCAAAGTTACATGAAAGGTCTGAAAGCAAATTACGAGTAGTTATCATTTTAAGATTTTTTTATTTTCGGGTTTTCCTGAACAGCGCATATTTATACACTTAGAGCTCGTAAATGAGGTTGACTTATACACTTAGAATATGTAAATGGGGACATGGCGCAACACGCCCTAAAAATAGCAGAAACAAGGGGCTGCCTCGGATGTCTCACTTTTTACCTTCCATAAAAATATGTGAAATACATCATGCATAGGTTTTTATGCTGTCGTCGATGTCGTTAAGTTTGGACATATATCGTAAGACAGTTTGATATTTGTTATACAGTCGACTCTCTTCACCTTAAATAAAGTGTTTTTGAATTTCATGTTCGGCAAAAATTTTTGAATACTGGTAATTTGGTTCAACCGGGAAAATGAACATGTGCTGCGAAGCGGCACGTGTCGGATAAATAAGTATATGTATTTGATCTAAATACAACCTTAAGTGCAGATTTTTGCTGTTTACTAACGAATCCGCTTGGAGCGACAACTTTATTTTACTCGACTTCACTACTGTGCGGATAACTTAGGCTGTTCGAAGTTTAAACTTCGGTTAACCAGAAAATAATCAACCAATCAAATTGATGGATAATTCTCACCATTCATATGATTTACACCGACCAATAAAATTGCCCGAATGCTTCACGAAATAAATCGTTCATTTAAAATTATCATCCTCACCCTGTGATCAAACATATCAATGTTTAACCAACTAATTAACTCAATTAAAATCTCTACAGTTTTGCAGTTTTTTGAAGTTAATTCGTCATAATGAATTTGTTGCTTCAAATAAGTTGTTCATTTTATATGTTCGTTTCATTTTCTCCCTCCCCAAGAGTTCTAAAAATTGTTATTAAGCGAAAATTTAATTTCAACTGCCTTAATCCCAACCAATAAAACTTTTTGGCATTAAATTTTATTTTTACATGTTAGTATTAATGCGAAGGTGATAAAGTGGTAGATCAATATATTGAATATAATACCTTATTTATCAATTAAATTGAATATCATTTGTTCTCACCAAGATGAACCGAATAGCATGAAAAAACCATATCTGGACTTGCGCAAAATAATGCCCCAAGGTGTTATTTTGAGACACAACTCTAAGCAACTAGCAATTAATTTAACCGAATTCGAATCATAATTTATTTTTTAAAACATCTTCGGTTAAATTAACAGGCATAGGACATCTCTCTTAGAATGTTATCTATAATAAAAATTATAGTAAAAACATATGAAATTACTATAAACTTTGAGTTAAAGACCTTCTTCGCGATTATTGTCCGAAGCGAAGGACACTAAAGTATTCGGCATGTGATGCAAAATTTACGTTTTTGATGCATTTGGCTCAAAAGAGGTACCATTTTGATGCACCAATATCAGAAACGTAATTTGGAATTTTTTCGTGTGTCCGCACGCGTGTCTATATCTGTACTTTAATGTAACACTAAACATGCTTATTTCGGGTTTGTGTAGCATGCTGATCATTATGTGTTAGGCTTCGGACATACATACGTATATATTTTTTTCATCTTTAAAAGAGAGGTCTATTCTCTATCTTGTTTATTAGTTAGTTAATTTTATCTGTATAAAAGATACATGATAAGAAAAAAATTATATTATGTAAAATGGAGATAAGAGCTACTTTACTCTTGACCTATTTTTTATTAAAATGGTCGTAAACCTTGAAAAGAGGTTGTCTATATATAATGTGATGATTTATTTTTTTATTTGATAAAGAAGATATAACTAGTTTGGTTTGGAGTTCAAAAGTTCTTAATTTATTTTCATTTTTCACTAATTTCAAAATATTAAAATTTTTAGTAGTTTGTAATAGTAATCTGTTTTGTTTGTTATTATTGTTGTTTGTATTATTACAAATGGTATTATTTTTATTGAAACTGTACATGAACTGTGCATTGGTAAAAATATTTCACATTGATTCTGAAAGTAATAGTATCTGAAGTAAATAGTCAGATATATTGTTAAACATAAAATATTTTTTAAATTTGTTAAGAGTTGTTTTAACTTAGTTTTGTTACACTTTAGATAATATAATTTCTGCAGTTTCAACTTGTTTTTTCTTAAGTATTGAAATATTTTTTATATGATTCTGACAGATTTGGTTTTGTTTAATTATTTGTTGCTTTTTATATTTCTGTTATATTTTTTGTACTAGTAATATTAATCCAAGAGCTTGGTAGTTATAAAAAATATATTTCTCTTAATAGTTATGCTGTGTTAACTAGTTGTTTAAATATTTTGATTGATATTGTGATATTATATTTTTTTATTTTTTTTGAATCTTTTGATAATTTGAGTTTTTCTGTTAGATTAGTTGTTATTATTTGTGAATCTAATATATTACTAAATCTATATATTTATATAAGTAATTAAATATTCAAATTTTGGTTTGGTTTTGATTTTGGTTATGTTTATAAGTATATTTAATATAGTCATTTAGCATAACTTTAAATGTATAGTATTCTTTAAATATTTTGATTATCCTTTCTATTGTTGTAGCAGAGTGTTAGAAATTAAATAAAAAGAAATATCTGATTCTTTTATTTAATTTATAATGTATTATAAATAAGCTTGATTTTGGATCTGATAATTTGAAGTATGCATCTAAAATTTTGTTAAAGTTATAAATTTTAGTAATTTTTGTTTGTAGTTGTTAAGATTCTAAAACTTTTTTTTATTTATAATAGGAAACAAAATTTTGATCTTAAAATCAAGGTTTTTAGAATTTTTTAAAGAAAGTTCTTTCATTTCAAAGTAATCTTCTAATAAAGTATTAAATTTATATATTTTATAAAGAACAATTACTATTAATTTTGTTTTATATTTGTGTGTAATTAATAGCTTATATAAAAAAAGTTGTATTTTTTTTGGTATTTTATTTAGATAATTTGAAAATACTGTTTATATATTATTTAATATTTTTTATATTATTTTTTTTATAGTTTATTAGTCTAAAGCAAACTTACTTTTAATAAATTTTTTTACATATTTGATCATTTTTGTGATTGTATTTTCTAGCATAGTATTAAGTTGTAGTTAATAATATAGTTTATAATAATTTTTGTTGTAGTTTAGTTTCTATTTTTCTTTATATTTGTATATTAGTAATTATAATACTGTTAATTAGTTTGTATACTTTTCTATTATACATTTAAGTAGACCTTTATAGTCTTTTAATAGGTTGGTCACATTATTTTGTTTTTAATAAAAATAATAAAGAATATTATGTCAAGGTATCTGAATTTTGTATTGATTGCATTAGGTATATAGAAGTTTGTTAGTTTATATATTAGTTTGTATTCTATTAGTTCTTCTATTCTTTATTTTGTTTACAATATTTTAAATATTTTATTGTAGTTTCAAGTTTTTAAGTTAAAGAGTTTTATAATTTCACTTACTATTTTGGTTTGTATTGTTTTGTTTTTTTTAAGTTAATATTCCTGCTTTTGAAAAAAGATTTTTATTCAAATTTATAAAATATAAGTAGCTTTAAAAACTTCTTTATATAGAATTTACAACTAATCACATATGTATTTTTGATATTTAATTTTTTTTTTTAAATATTAACGATGAGGCCATGCCTTTAACTTTATTGAAATTCAATTGAAGTTTTTACAAAGAAAA